TCCCTTCTCCCCGGCACTGACCGTCCCATCCCTCCCCAGGCTGCCGGACCGAGTGGGACGGGCTGAGCTGCTGGTCGGCCGTGCCCGTCGGCCAGTCCCGAGCCATCGCCTGCCCCGACATCCTCCACGTCTTCAAGAAGTCCAAAGGTGCAGTGAATCCCCCCCGGACCGCTCATCCTATGGGATCGGGGGCTGAGCTGCACCCACCCACCCTGCCAGGGGCTTTTGTGACACCCCAGCCCTTCCCCTGCCATCTCACAGCTCCTGCCTCTCCGAAATATGTCCTTGGTATATCCTGCAGTCCAAGCAGGGGACGGGCAAAAGCAGAAATTCAGGTTGTTGCCACGCCAGGAAAGTCCCCAGATCCTTTCATCACTCAGTGCCCTGTGGGTAGAGCACTTGGGGACCTCATCCTCCAGCTGGGTGACAGCAGGACAGTCCCTTTGCTGCTCAGTGCCCTCCTTTCCCACACAGCAGCCAAACGCTCCTGACCTGCTCGGGATCACTCCAAGCCACATGGATGAAAAACACAGTGTGGGATTGTGATGATTTCCAGACCAGGTGTTCTCCCAGGGTGGGAATTGCTGCCAGGGGAGCTCCTGCCTCCATCCCCTTTGGAGACAGCAGGGTGTGAAGGAGAGCACCCGATCAGTCCCCTCAGCAGCTGAGCACTGGGCATAATTGGATAGGCAATGGAGAGTTGGTAAATGCATGCTTAGGGCTGGGACAGCTCAGGAGAGGTTTGATGAAGCCCTCACAGGATGAAGAAGCACTTTTTTAGCCTAAACTCCCTCCCTCTGTGGGGATTCATGCCTGCTTTCACACCCTGCCCTAAGTTGCCCTCCAGGAGGGCAGCGATGTGAGCTGGGAGGGATGGGGCAGCCAGGCCACTCTGGCACCACACTGCTGTCCCTGCTGGGCTGCTGTCCCAGGCAGGATGTTTTGGGGGTGCTGAGGCAGAGGTGATACCTGTGGCTCTCATGAGGTCCCTTCTTGTTGCTGCAGTGCTGATCCAGAGGAACTGCACCGAGCTGGGATGGAGCTCCCCCAGCCCTCCCTACCACAGCGCCTGCGAGCTGGAGGCCCTTGGCAGCAACAATGACACTGAGGCCAAGGCAAGGGGGTCCCCTGGGGGCTGTGGGGCACCCACTGCAGCATCACCCTGCCCACATCACCCTGCCCACATCACCCACCCCACATCGCCCTCCCCACACTGACCCACACTGTTGGGCAAAGAAACATGAAGATCCTCCCAGGATTGTCTCATTTGGCCTCATCCTCGTTGCTGGGGTGCCTGGAGGAACCTGGTCTGGGTCATCACCCTGTCACCTCCCTGCCATCACAGACCAGCACCTCCCAGTCCATGCTGCCTCACTCCACTGGTGCTTTCCTTTCCAGAAAGGCTATTTTGTCACCATGAAGGTGCTTTACACCTGTGGCTACTCCACGTCCCTGGCAGCCCTGTTCTTGGCCATCGGCATCTTCTCCTGCTTCAGGTAGGGCTCAGTCCTGGCTGCTCCTGGGCTGCAGCTGGAGCAACACAGGGTAAATCCTCAGCAGGGGATGCTGCCCTCGGCCTCTGCCCTCCCTGAGCCGCCAAGCTCCATCCCTGCCAGCAGGGACAATAGGGCAGCATGAGAGGAACAGCAGCATTGTCCTTCCCTGTCCTTCCCTGCTGACACACAGGCTTGAAACCCTCGGGTTGCCCTTTCAAGCTTTGCCTTTGCAGACCTCGCTGTGCTGCAGATTTGTGCCCTCTGGAGATGGTTGAGGATGTTCCCCAGCACACCTTGTCCCTGGGCAGTAGCTTCAAGCACAGCACAACACTGTTCTTCCTGATTTCAGAGCAGGAAAAACTCCAGGGCTCTGTGCTTGACCATCACAAACACGTGGTCCCTGGGCTGGGCTCCAGCCAGGGAAGGGGATATTAGAGGAGAAGTTCCTCTGCCCCTTGGCTGTCTCTGCTGCTCCCTGGGTGCAGAACAGCTCTTCCTCCTATAGGAAGCTGCACTGCACGAGGAACTCCATCCACATCCACTTCTTCACCTCCTTTGTGCTGCGGGGGACTGCTGTGTTCATCAAGGACAGTGTCCTCTTCTCGGACGAGTCCATCGACCACTGCACCATGTCAACAGTAAGACACTGAGTCCCAGCCTGGGCAAGTTGCAGGGAGGGCAACGTGAGGTCATCTGGAAGAGTCTGAGTGGGTTTGGAATGGATTTAGCACTGCAAAGAGGAGAGAGAGAGAGAGAGAGAGAGAGGCTGTGAGCCGGGGGAGGACAGTCTGCCTTGGGAGGACTTCAGGAGGTTCACAACAACATTTCTGCATTGGCCTCGTGCAGGGATCATGGTCTGCCTTCAAAGCTCTCCCTGGTCTCAGGCAGTGTCCCAGCAGGGCTGAAGCTCAGCACAACCTCAGCAGCACCAGGTACATGCAAACACACCTGGCACGGCTGGATGCACAGATTTGGGGTTCTCAGTCAAAACAGAACCCCCTGTGTGCAGGTACCACCCTGTGGGCACCACGGACACAACCACAGACGTGGGTTTCTAAAGGTCCTCCAAAACCAGCCTGTGCTCACCTGCCCATGTTGCACAGGCAGAGCAGAACCTGCCCCGGGTGATGGGTGGGATTGGTGCAGAATCCCTGGAGCTGCACTGAAAGGCCATCACAGGTGTCCTTGAGGGGATGCACAGGGAGGATGACCATCTTCTGTGCCCCCCAGGACAGGGTCTGGTGCCATCCAGCACTCTGAGCCTGCCCCCTCCTCATCCTGGCAGGTGAACTGCAAAGCAGCCATCACCTTCTTCCAGTACTCGGTCCTGGCCAACTTCTACTGGCTGCTGGTGGAGGGCCTGTACCTGCAGACCCTGCTGCTGCTCACCTTCACCTCCGACAGGAGGTACATCTGCTGGTACATCCTCATCGGCTGGGGTGAGTGTGGGGCTGTCAACCCCTGCAGGGCCCCACTGACAGGCCAGGGGCAGGAACCACCTCCAGGGGCTGCCTGCTCTGACCCCCCCAGCCATGGCTGCTCTCAGCACACCCCCCTCGCCCCCAAATCTCTCTGCATGGCCTTGTGCTTGCTGGGGCACCTGCCAGCTCCTGGAGCTGGCTGAGAAGCGTGACCTGACCCAGGACAGGTCCTCCCTTCTTCCCACGTCCACCTGGAGCTGGAAACACCGATCCCAGGTGCCCAGGTTGGATGTGAGAGCACATGTGGGAGCAGGAGGGTGGCCAGGAGGTGACACACAGACAGAAGTATCACCATCAGTGGGCACCATCTCCATTTAAACCTGGAGAAGGTGGAAAGGTTGTCACCTTCCTGCCACATCCAGGGGCTCAGACCTGACCTAGACACGTGGGTTTGGGGACAAGGGAGGGAGGGGTGGTACAGGACACTGGGGAGACTCCACATCCCTGCCTGTCCTGTCCTTGCAGGTGTCCCCATGGTGACAGTGGCTGTGTGGGTGGTCACCAGGCTGCAGTATGACAACCACGGGTAGGAGCAGACACCCCTCTTCCTTCTCCAGGCCAACTCAGCCACGTGTCTCCCATCCAAGTCCTGGGGGATGAACCTCTTGCATGGGAGGCTCAGGAGGGGAGAACTGGGCCAGGGCTTTATTTTAATGCTATTCCTGTTTTCTAGTGGATCCCGTGGCAAGAGGTGCTGTGCAAAGGGGGCATGGGGCTGGTCAGAGGGGTGGCAGGGTGACACCTGGGCTACAAGGGCCCAAGTGGGTGGGAAAGCCACTTCTCCTCTCCTGTAGGTGCTGGGATGATTACACCAGCCTGTACTGGTGGGTGATCAAGGCTCCCATCCTCCTGGCCATATTTGTGAGTGTGTCCTCTGAGAATCCCAGCCCCAGAGCTGGGGGGTCCCGTATGGAGAGGGGGAGCTGAGCAGGGGGCCGTGCAGAGCCTGAGATGTGGCTTCCCATGGCAGGTGAACTTCCTCATCTTCCTCAATGTCACCAGGATGTTGGCACAGAAGATCCGGTCCCCAGACATCAGCAAAAACTACAAGCAGCAGTACATGTAAGGGCTACAAAGGGGGGCTTTCCTCACCCTGGTTTCTGGGGGTCCCAGGGCACCAGGGACCCCTCCCTGGAGGAGCACAGAGGAGGGACATCTGGGAGGCTCCAAGACCTGCCTCTCACGGAGAACCTGCTTGGGGTTAAAGCCAAGCCCTTGGGGAGGTCTCACGGGGCAGCAGGACCACCCAGGCTGCCCCTCATGCCACCACTCTCTGCAGGAGGCTGACCAAGTCCACGCTGCTGCTCATCCCTCTCTTCGGGGTGCACTACGTGGTGTTCGCTCTCTTCCCCGAGCACGTCGGCGTCGGTGCCCGGCTGTACTTCGAGCTGGTCCTCGGCTCCTACCAGGTGCAGGCTGGGGGAGATGGGGAGGCAAAGGCCCCCTGTACCCATCCCATCCCAAGATCACACCCTGGGAGCCCCTGGGATGTGCTGCTGGGGCTTCACACTTGAGAGAGGGCTGTGCCCTGGGCACCCCTCAAATGCCAGAGCTGTGTCCTGGTGAACAACTTGCACCGATCCCCTGCTGCCCGTGGGATGGGGTGAGAGCTGTGGGAGGATGGAAGTGCAGGCAGCAGATGAGCACAGAGGGGTCCAACCCCTTTCCTCGGGTGAAACTTGCTCTTCCTGTCCTTCCCAGGGCTTCCTGGTGGCTCTGCTGTACTGTTTCCTGAACGGGGAGGTGAGTGTGTCCCCCAGCACCCATCCCTGGGCTCCACAGCTGGCTGGGCACACAGAGGGTGCACAGAGACCCTCAAGGGTGCACAGAGACCCTTGAGGGTGCACAGACACCCCTGAGGGTGCACCAAAGCCAGGCCTGTGTGCACACACGGGCATGATGGGGGTCCCCACCCTCCTGCACCCCAAATCCTGTAGAGCCCTTGGAGCAGCTCCTGCCCCTCTGCTGGGTGCTGGTGGCTGTCCCTGGGTGCTGGTGGCTGTGCCTGGGTGCCAGTGCCACCCCTGGTGTTGGTTCAGGTCCAGGCTGAGATCAAGAGGAACTGGGGCAAGTGGCAGTTGTCCATGGAGAGCAACGTCTTCAACCTGGTGACCCAGGACTTCACAGCGTGACGAGGACGGCGACTGGGGGGAATCACCCCCTCAGGGGGTGGTGGTGGGAGTGGTGCAGCTCCATGGCTACAGTCCCAGAAAGGCCAAAAAAAGGAAAGATTTTGGATGTTCTGGGTCTGGTATCCTCAGAGGGTGGTGTGAATGGCTGTAGGAAAGGCTCTGCCTGCTCAGGGGCTGGTGGCACTTTATGGCTCCGTGTGACAGTGACCCACTCAAAGCTCTCTTTGGGGTCTGGTCAGAATTTTAGGTAGAGCAAAGAAAACTTCTCTGCTCTTCTGCCCCAAGACCAGGCAGGAAGCAGAATTATCATTTCACGAAGGGCAGTTGGTGTTTTTCATTTGCACTGGAATGAAAAGAAAAAGTGGTCCTGACACTGAAGGCATTTTTTGATGGCTGTTCCCTCTCTTCCTTGGTGTACAAAACCATTTCCCTTATGGGAAGATGCCTAAACACAGCCAGGAGCCTTTCTGAGGGTGGGAGAAGCAAATAGAGAGGCAAACCCCCCTACAAGAGTCCCCCAGTGGCCTCTTGACTCAGTTCCTCCCTGATTCCCAAAATGTTCCCCTTTCTCCCATGCCTGTTGATTCAACGGGGGGATAAATTCCCCCACTCCCTGGGCCTTTGCACTGAGGAATGGGACAGTTTGCAATCAGCAGGACTCACTGGCTTCACCAGGGACTCATTTTCCAGGGATAGCAAGTTTTGTGCCAATAAAATTTGTTCTGAGGTCTAGCACTGCTTTTCAGAGGGTTGATTTGCTCTCCAAACCCAGCCTTGGTGCCGGAGGTGCTGGAGGGTGGAAACCCTGCCCATAATGTAATGCCTGGTAATCCCTCATGGGGTGGGAATATCTGCCTTTTCCCTGCCTGCTGAAACAGCCAGGCTTTGGGCATGGCCATGGAGAGGGGATGGAGGAGGAAGGTGAGGAAGAGCACAAGGTGGTGCATCATGAGCTGTCCCGGAGTTTGTGGGGTGCCCTGGCCCCTCTGGGTCAGAGATGCCACCACCACACCATGGCCTGGCCCTGTTCCCCACCATGAACATCCTTCATCCTCCCAGACTGAGCTCCTGCCTTGGCAAACTTTGTCTCCAGGAGCAAGAGAGGCCCCAAATGCCCTTTCCCAAACCTGCTGGCCTCTCCCAGCCACATCGAGCTCCTGAGCCACCCGATCCCAGCAGAGCTTCTCACACTGCCTAGGTTGTCATTTCTCCATGTTGCCACATGTCCTTCCTTAAATAAAACCCACTTGCTGGCCCCTTTCCAGACTGCAGGATCTCCAGAGATCCCGTTTGGTCTCTCAAAGAGGCCTTGAGAGGGAAGCAGAGCTCCAGACCTGATTTGAGGTGAGATGGAAGATGTTCCACTAAACACCCCCCCTGAGCCAGCAGCATGCTCTGCATCACCAGCCAGGAAACCTCCAGAGGAGCACAGCAGCTGTCAAATGAATGCCTGTCTGCAGCCAGGAAGGGACCACAAGTGAATAGACATCCCTGACCATCATTAGGAAGACGGTGTTTCAGCAGGGATGAGGCAGCAGCAGCAGTGGATTGTGCCAGGGCTGGGGCTGCTCAGTGGGAATGTCCCAGTTGCCACAAAGCTTTGAAGAACACTGGGTTTGCACCTATTGACAGCTGCAAATGGGTTTTCTGGGTGATAAACCTGAAACTCCAACTGACCCGCTGGGGTTTGCTGGGCTTTGACCCCCCTGGTCTCCATGGAGCAGGACAGGAGCCCATGGTGAGTATGGCAGGGATGTGCCACCTCTGTGGGGACTGGACATCAGGCTTGGCCTGCAGGAAAGGTTTTCCAAAGCATTTGCTCTGTCACTGGTGTGGACCTTGCCCTGCAGCCACATAAGATCATAGAATCAGAGAATTATGGAATGGGTTGGGTTGGAAGGGACCTTAAAGGGACCATCTCATTACACCCCCTGCCATGGGCAGGGACACCTTCCACCAGCCCAGGTTGCTCCAAGCCCCGTCCAACCTGGCCTTGGACACTTGCAGGGATCCGGGGGCAGCCACAGCTCCTCTGGGCAACCTGAGCCAGGGTCAAACCACCCTCCCAGAGAAGATTTCTTCCCAAAGATCCCAATGATCTTAGAGGTCTTGACCAACCTAAACCATTCTGAACCTGTATCTGGGCAGACTGTGCCCGGGTAGAACGGGAGCAGGTTTTCCCCGTCCCTCCTCCAGCAGGGCCGGGGGTGTCACAGCCCGGCATCCCCATCCCCCAGCCTGTCCCGGAGGTGCTTTGTGTCCCCCTCGGGGCTGGAGGGGTGCCCGGGGAGGGGGGTGTTTTTCCTGGAGCCGGAGGGTGGCACTGCGGCCCCTGCACAGGCACCGACACCGGATCAGGGTGTCAGCGCTGGAGCGCGGTGTCCCCGCACGGGCACGGGCACGGGCACGGGCACAGCCGGGGGGGACCCGGCCCATCCCGGGGTGCCAACGCCCGGTGGCTCCAGCCTGCTGGAAGAACCCAGGGATTAAGGTAAGACAGCACACTGCTCTGGGGGAATGCGCATCCCAAGGCTTTGGAAAGAGCTGGGACCCCCCAGGATCGCTCCTGACAGCCCTGGTCAGGAGAGGGGATGGGAACAGGGCTGAGGGCTGGGAGCGCTGTGCCTCTGCCTGATGCTTCGTTCCTTGCCTGCACCCCCTGCTCCTCCCGGGACTGCCAGGCCACCCTGGCTGGGTGCAGAGGGTGCCCTGTGCTCGCATCCCCTCTTTCATCCCCGCCCTGGGATGTTCCCGGCTCTGCAGCTTGGGGAATTCACCCTCCCCGTGCCCCGGCTCGCTGGGGCAGCTCGTTTCCTCCCTTTCTGTGCAGGCAGCTCCAACTCTGCCCAGCTCCTGCCTGCACAGACACCAGCAGAGGCTGGTCCCACAAGTCCCGGGGATGCTGCCAGTCCCACAGTTCTGGCAGTGAAGGAGAGTTGGGAGGGACTTGGGACAAGGCCCTGGAATGACAGGACAAGGGGAATGGCTTCCTACTGACAGAGGGCAGGGTTAGATGGGATATTGGGAAGGAATCCTTCCATGGGAGGGTGGGCAGGCCCTGGCACAGGTTGCCCAGAGAAGCTGTGGCTGCCCCATCCCTGGAAGTGTCCAAGGCCAGGTTGGACAGGGCTTGGAGCAACCTGGGCTAGTGGAAGGTGTCCCTGCCCATGGCAGGGGGTGGAATGAGATGAGCTTTAAGGTCTCTTCCAACCCAAACCATTCTGGGATTCTGGGATTCCATGATGCATCCAGCATCACAAGCCCAGGTACCTCAAACACTCCAGGGTCCCTCAGGCTGGACCAAGCATTGCCCTTATCCCACCCTGTCACACCAAGAACCCATTTTTCCCACCCAAATTCATGTTGTGAGTACCTCTGGGTACCCCAAGCTCCCATTCCTGTGCAGGGGGACAGGAGCAGTGCCCTTGTGCCCCCTCAGTTCTGGGCTGAGCACCCTGCAGTGCCCCCAGAAGGGCAGGAGCCACATCCCAGAGTTTGCACACTCATGTGCCCCATTCCAGATTTCCCTGGGCTCTAGGCAAAGTAAAAACAGGTCTGTGCAGCTATCACAGGCTTCCCAGTGGTGACAAGGCTGGGCTTGGGGCAGCTGCAGCTGCTGGAACCCCCCAAACTTCCTCTGAATTTCCTGTTGCAACCAACGGAGCAAGTGGAAAGTCCCCACAGTCACAGTAGGGACGTTCCCTGTCCCTTCTCTCCTCACCAGCCAAAACCACTGACCCCTGGATGTACAGGGGGTGTTCTTTTCTCATGGATAGGGGCTGTTGCTTTGCTGCTGAGCTCCCAACAGGCTCCTGGTGCAATCTCTGCCTTGCAGCAATCCCCTGGGAGCTGACATGGGGCTCTTCACTCTCTCCTTCCCTTGCCTTTATCCACTCTGAGCCTGGCTGAGGCTCCAAGTCAGCAAGAAGAGCCCTGGGGTTGGTTTTTAGCTGAAGAAATCAAAGTTACACCTCCCAAAGCACACCTTTGGCATCTCCTGTGCAGAGCTAATTCTGCACCACCTCTCTCCCATAAGCCAACCCCGGGCTCCTGTCCTGCCTCATTCACACAGTCTGCAATAGAAAAGGAAAATTATTTTGAGAAGCAGAATTGAGCTAAAACTTCACTTCCCAGCACCCTGGGTGCTCAGGTCTGCAGTCTTGGCCCTGGTTTTATGGATTGTGTAGGATGCTGGTGATGACAAAGAGCCCCAGGGTGAGGGGCTGGAGGCAGGGCAGGGGATTGCTGTGGGAAATCACCAGGGAGGGATGCCAGGCTAGGGAGGAGAAGTGCTGCAGCTCCACTAAAACCCACACCAACACTGGAAAGTCCCTATGGAGTGTTTTGGGACAGCAGAAGGGACAGAGACAGTGGTGTTGGAGAGATGATGAGCCCCTTTTGACCAGGCTGAGCGCTGGGGTGGTTGGTCCACCCTCAACACAGCCCTGAGCACCCCAAAAGGGGTGAGCCCTGCAAGCTGGGTCCCCCTCTGTGCTCTCCTCCTAACCCTGGGTGCCTACCAAGCACCCTGTGTACCTACCAAGCACCCTGTGTACCCCCAGAACTGCTTGGGCATGTCAGGAGCACCCAAAAGCATCAGGAAGGGCATGAGGGGAGACAACCCCATAGCAAACCCCTATTTCTGTGTCACCCTGGCTCTGGTTCAGATCCCCGGGGGTCCCCATGGGCAGGATGTGCAGGGAGGGCACAGAGTGAGGTGTGTTGGTGTCCCAGCAGGGTGACCCCGTGTGGCTCTGGCCATGCCGGCCACGGGATGCTCCCGGTGTGCAAAGGAACACGGTGCTGGTGCAAGAGGGTGGGTGTGGGGGGATGGAGAAAAAACTGCCGGCCACCCCTGGTGTGTAAGGAGGAGCCCCAGTCAGCGCTGGGTGCTGCACAATGGGAACACCGTTCCCAAAGAGCCACGGGCTTGGAGACAACACTGGCAGCGGGGTTGGCACCGACTGTCCCCCACCCCCCGCCCTCGCAGTTGTCCCGCT